TCATACTTTATTTCATTCCATGTTTCATCTGCCAAACCGTCAATGCCAATTTGGGAAAAGAAAAAACCAGCCATGACATGAAACCTACTGTCCAGTAGCACATGCCGCCAGGTTCTGAGGTAATAAACTCCCGTATACAAAGACAGGACTAGGAGAAATTTCAAAGGAAAGATGGTGTGATATAGTGGGTTAAATATCCTTTGGTAGATGCTAAAATCTAAAATCATCATTTCTTCAAAAAATCTAAAATCGTCATTTCTTCAAAAAATCTAAAAAATCACCATGTAAACCTTAGGCAATTATGTTCAATTTCCAATGAGCAACAGAATTTTCTGATAACAGAATATCCATTTAGAGAAATAAATGGAACAAACTAGTTTATGTAATTCTCTATGTACATCTAAAATCAATATTTACTTTATAATATAAAATAACCCTTAAGGGAGTATATGGATTTGTAACATAATGACATAAACTAATTTTACATAATTTTCTATGTACACCTAAAATCAATATTTACTTTATAATATTAATTATATAGGTTTATGGTTTAGGGTTTAGGATTTAAGATCTACAATTTGAAATAAGATCTTGGGTTTCTTTTTAACCCTCAGATGCTAATCACTATTAGTATGAGGAAGACAAACAAAGTTAGTGCCCCAAAATTTTTCACAGTTCCAGCTATTTGTTAAAACACAGAATTGAAATTCACCTCCAAGCTTTTGAGCTTCTTTGATTATTTGAAGTGCCAGTGTCGTCTTTCCAGATGCTTCTTGCCCATAAATTTCAACAAATCTTCCCTACAGAATGCAAAGAGATGTCTGGCCAAAACGTTTAATGACATGATTCCACCTTCCAAAAACTGAAACTAAAAGTTTGTCCAAACACTAACTTTGCATTTCATTCCCAAAAAACATATTGAGAAGCAACAAATGTTGAACTTCCAAAATTGAAGTTCTGTTCAGATGTTGAAAAGGTGCAGTTTTAAGTTTACATCCTAAGAGCTCTGGATTTGAACATTGATAAAAATATTACAATTTAGTCTATGAACTCTCATTACTTTTATTCTGCACCAGAGACCAATTTTTGACCATTGATAAGCATATTATCATCCAGTTACCTGGATTCTCATTATTGTGGATCCTGCACCAGAAGCACAAGTATTTGTCGAGACATAAAACTCAGAACAGATAAGAACAAAGCTGCTAATGCTGTCACAATGTCATGAGCTTAAGCACTACAAGAGAGGCTTATTTGCCTTACTACCAATGCAGAAAGAGTTCTCATTGAAGGCCCTAAACTGATAGTGAAAGAGGCTAGAATAAGGAAAGTGGTAACCTGAAGACACTATATGCACGGTTTCTTTACGAAAAAACAATGAACCTTTAGAATAGCAAACTCAAGGAATTTTTATAGACATGCGATACTAACCTTGAAACTTGAAGTAACTATATGAGAAATGATCTTAGTGAAAGGGAAAAAATATTTAACTTTTTCATGGTCCAAGCGCTGACAAAGAAACAGTGCCTTTAAGAAACCAAACTGTATGTCATACACAGATGCTGTGAATTCAATATGCATGCATGTGAAAGATGTGACTGAGACACACACAATGCAGTAGCACAGTTTTGCTTTTTCAGTTAATCACCTTGGGTAATCCCCCAATCCCAAGAGCTAAATCAAGCTTTGATGAGCCTGTAGATATTACTGGAGCACGCCGTGATCTGAAGAACCGTTGCAATGACAACATTGACTCTCTACTAAACTCACCAGAAAGCTGTGATAGAGCTAAACGTAGTGCAGTATCTTTCTCGGTTGCTTTACTGTCGTCATGGAGTTCATCACAGTCAAAATCTGAAACTTCCACTGAAAATGAACCCAGTGATATCAAAAACCATTGTGCCTAACTCAGTATCCCAGAGGGAATAAGGAAGTATATGTAGCTAATTACCTAGAGAACAAAGACGTTTGATGTTCATCCGGATGCAAGTGACTGTGCCTCTTCTTCCTTTCTGCAAGTACGGCAGAAGTCACAGAACAATAAAATATAAAGGACTCAATGATGATATTGCATCTCAAAGAGAAAGTAAGATATTAAAAATAAAAAACAAAGAAGACAATACTCATTATCAGAAAGGAAGAATCAGGCAAGAGCTTCATGGTGAAAAAATAATCAATATTCATGTCACTAGCAGACACAATGTCTTACAATTGAAGCTTACTCATGTCACCATTCGCATTAAATTAAGCACTCCATATTTTAGCACTTGGACAACAAATTGACACAAGCCGCAAACTATAACATATGAATCTCACAAATATTTAAAACAACCTATAAGAAAAAAAAAAATGCCACCGGAGACCAGAAATAGTCTGCTACTACAGAAAGCAGCTTCCTTTTGGTACTTTCGACTACTGGTTAGCCTGGGAAGAGACTATTTATACATCAGTTCCTATCACTCGGAATAAATAACATTTATATTTATGTTAGAAAATAAATAGTTGATTGAATCATTTCCTATTAACTTAAACTTTTGGGATAATCAGTTCAATTTATTATTTAAAATAGTAATCAGAGTCACAGTTCTAGCACTTGAATCCTACTAGTCCCCATTTATGCCAAAACTTAACTTCCCACAAGGTTTGGATGGTCTCTGCATGATTCATGCTTTCAGCCTACTAAACTTATGTATAAGAGAGCGTGCTAGAATATAAATACTCGATGGGTTTATTTCCTACTAGCTTAAGCTTTTGGAATAATCAATTCAATCTATTATTTAAGAATTTTACTTCTATAATTTCCAATTTCAGCATAAATCTATAAATAATTCCAAAAGCTCCCTAATCCTTGATAAATGAGAACTAAATTCAGGAAACAAGCCATAATTTGCCAATTAGGTATGAGGATACGAAGCACCCCTATATCTTATCTACTCAGTCATGTGTGAGTATTTCCGAAGCTCTTTTTTCAGGAAAAAAAGAGGTTTTTATTCTCTTATAATTTTACTAGTTAGTGTCATTTCTTCCACAGTTTGAAATCTGGTTATCTAACTTCAACTTCATTGATGCTATTTGTTTAGTTAATCATCGAAGTTAAATCACCTTGAACTTCTAGATACAAGCTACCTCCATTGTCATAATCAGATTACACCATCAAATAAGTTTTCACGGGAAGGAATGACATAGTCATCACTGGCAGCAGATATTGCAAGGCTTAGAAGCTCTTACTGTAACAGAAAATACTTGCACCATTGAATTTCACATAAAAAGGAAAGAAATGATTAACATCATCCGCTTACTTCCATTTTGTGCAAAAAATTTAGAATTTTACTTTTCCCCATCTTGACTTTCAAGAAAGATTCAAGATTTCTTATACGAACAATGTAGAAAACATAACTATTTGACTTCCTTTCCCTCCTTATTTGCAGCCTCGAATCCCTTTCATGGGTCAACCGTAGAATCTTTACTTATGAAAAAAATTACTTAAGTAGCTATAGCAGTATAGCTACAACTTGTATAATCATTCTTCATGTTTCTCCGCTTACAACAGTGGCATTACAAAACTTATGAAATTAATTTATGCAACCAAGACATATTAACAAGACAAAGGAGTACCTATTATAGCTTTTACACTTACATATATGCGTAGTGTATGTACAAATAAATTGGATTTTTCCAAAACCAGATATCAAATTAGTAAGATAATGAACTAACAAAAAGGAAAACTAGAGAACCCACTGGTTGAGCTGTCAGCTCATTACTAATTAAACAATTTTCAACGAAGCTACCAGTATATACGTCACATCAAACGTACCAAACAGCAGTTTTCACAATTTAAGTAAAAACTAACGTAAAATCTTCATTAAACCATGAGAGGTAGACACATGGGAATACAGAAAGATGGAGATTGATACCTGAGGAAAATAGGGAACAAGAGAGAAGAAACGAGTTCTTCCAAATAAACGAAGACGAAGAGATTGCAGCAAAAGCTCCATATCCTCAAGGGTTTTTCTCTACTTCGGCAATCAACTATTGGTTTTTTTCAGACATAGAAGATGCAAGTTTGAAAATATTTTAAGTAGGATTTAAAAAATCGCGCCATTTCCAGACTCAGCGAGTCAGTTACGAAGCAACTCGCAATGGCAGACCTATTTCTGCTCATAGCCACAGGAACCACAGTTTCCCTCCTTTGTCCTATGGTGGCGCGTATTTACAGGAATTCCCCGCATATGTTACAGAATTATAATTTGTGCCGTCTTTTAATAGTTGTTTTCATTTCTGTCCTCAGCCAGCCCATTTATAATTACACATTCTGCACAGTGATTAATTACGTTTCATTTAATTTTTTATAATTACCCTAACTAAAAAGATTATTCGTTCAAAAACACAATAAATTTAATATAATATAATGTATTTTTATTACCCTATTATTACAAATACACTAATACTATTTATTGTAAACATTCTTTTTAATTAATTATATTATATTTGATATATGAGTATTTTACAACAAATATATATGTGATAACTTGAGAATTTTATGATAAAAGCTTAATTAAAAAATATTTTGGAAATGAAAAAATTAATAATATTTTATTGTACTAAATTTTATCCCATCATAGGATTGAGGTAAACCTGTAATAATGATCACCTGCAATCATATTACGTTGGAACCCTAGTGTTGGAAGCTTGATTGCTGACGTGGACGGATTTGATTCGATCTCAACATACCCAGAAACTTAGACCGACTCCATCTTCCTCTCCACTCGGTCAAAGAAGGTCGACTCTGGCTGTGGAGAACAGGAAACACCAATCGCATTTTTGCCAATAATCACCACCAAACATTTTCAATTCCTTTGCTTTTTCTTTTCCTCTTTTCATTTTGAGGATTCATCATCAAAATGGCAATTTCGGCACCAACAAGGATCTCTCAGATTTGTTGCTTCTCCTCGATCGACCGCAGATTTCAGCTGCAGAGACGATCCATCAAATTGCCAACAGCTATTCGTAAGGTAGACGATTCTGTTTTCCTCGTTAACTTTTTATCAAAGTTCAATCATATGCAATATACGTTCGATTTATTTCTTTGTTGAGATGTTGTTTGTTGCTTAGTTCTAAAGTAGAACCTTGATTGCTTAACGCTCCTGTTTTGTTTAATAAATCTCCAAACGCCTTCGTCTTTGTTATCTATCACGTGGAAGTCACGCAGATATGTTGTGCTAATTATTAAAGTTTTGCAGTCATTTGTTGTTATGAGCATTGATGGAAGTGGCATGGAAACTACCAGTTCTCAGGATAAAACGGCTCTAAGATATAGTGGTGAAGTATCAAAACCTTATGTAGAAGGGGCGACGAAGTTACATTCCGCAAGAAACGAGAACGGTGAGGAAACGACAGAGGTGAGAGACTCGGTGCAGGAAGATGCTGTTGGTCAACCGAAAAGGGGCGCCAAAATCCATGATTTTTGTTTTGGCATTCCTTATGGTAAAGCCTTGTTCAAAATTTCGAAAATATACTTCATGTGTTTATCTCTTTCTTAATAATTGAAGGTTTGCATTTGCAGATATCTGTGTCTCACAATTTTTTACTAATGTTAACACATATCAGCTATTGCTTATATGTGCTTGTTTGAGCAATAACATTTCCTTAATTTTTGTTAGCTAATTTTTTTTTTTTCCAAAAAACTAAGGTTTTCATGGTGTGTCTTTGTATGGTACGTAGTCTTATCATTTTCTTCCTTTTAAAGATAAATTTGTTACTCCCCCTTAAAAGAACAAAAAGACATTGTGATGCTTATTTGCCAACTTCTAAATGGCATTGTCACAGGTGGTCTTGTTCTTAGTGGGGGGCTCATTGGTTCTATGTTCTCAAGAAACTTTTCAACTTTAAGAACCGGTTTGCTTTTTGGAGGTGCTCTGCTAGCTCTCAGTACATTCAGCTTAAAGATCTGGAGGCAGGGAAAGTCAAGTTTACCATTCATACTTGGGCAAGCAGGTATCTTTTAGTCCTTTTTTTTTAAATATATTTCATGGCCTTTCTATGGAACAACTTATCTTACATGAAACACTATGGCTTTTGGGCGTTTTGTAACTGCTATCTCTTAGTTGTATACTTAGCATTCCAAATCCACTTAATATTTTGGATTTATGCTCCAAAGATAAAACAAGCGCCAGATATATTCATGTGCTAATATGATGGAGTATGTAGGATTTTATTTGAATATATATTCAGCAGACTGTTCTGATTCTATTGAGTTCACTATATGACATTTGTAAACAGAGAGATAGCTGGAGTGTTGGTTATTCATCACTTATAGGGGTTTCACGTAAACCCAGAGCTTGTTGTGAATACTGTTTTCTTTGAACACGAGCCACAAACTCAGTAGTCGCTGAGGAATTTGCTTGTCTAATGCGAGAGTTGAAGCCTGTCTAGTATACATGAAGGAAATGGCTCCTGCCGAAACCTGCTTGAACATGGGAAAATGGGAAATCTTTATAAAACTTTATAGGAAATGTGAAGATAGAAATTATTGTGAATGGCATAGAGGTATCATTTCTTAAGTCAAGTACACAATTGTTTGCATTTAAGAATACAGTTTGTAGGATAAACCAAATAATTGCTGTTGAGCCCAGGATTTATTTAGTACTAAAAATAGGGAGGTTTTTTTTTTTCTTTGAGAAATTCGGAAGGAAATTGATGGGGATATATACTTAATGCATAGGAATGATGGTGGACCTTATACAAGTCCTGAAAATGACACCAAAATTTTAACAAATGGTGACTTTGGGAGGTTAAGCTCATCCATCGCTCTAGACAGGGAATTTAGCAGCATGGTCAGTTGATGAGGTTGGAATATGTTTCTTTTTAAGTTCTCGAATTTTTGGAAACCTATAACTGGAGTGTAGCCAGGATCAGATCTCCATGCACCATTCTTCTCTTTCCTCAAATATTGGGCAAATGCATAACTGTATCAGATTCCTAGTTTGCAGTTTGGTAAAGTAATTTCCTTGTGAAATGGTGATTGATGCAGACAGATGTAGAACACAATAGAAAAAACTATTTTTCTGTGCATCTCTATTATGTAGATTCAAGAGTAGACTATGTCATGCATGACACCGGATACACCGGATATTTCCTTGACATGCTTATACTTATGGAATGGTTTCAAGGTGCAAAATTAGCAGATTGTCTACTCATTCTCTTATTCAGAATGATGACAAAGAAGAAGAAATGAGGAACAAATAGATACTGGGTATTAGCAAGGGAACTAAGGATGAGAAATGAAGAACCATGCAGGAAGTATCAAGACCTCAAATTTCTTTATTATACATTATACAAGAGCATGCACATTTGCAGTATACCAAGAAACTGAAGTTCCTAATAGTATTGTATATCATAATTCTTCTTGATTACTGGGACTCAGAGAAGACAAATAAATGAGCAAACAACCCATACACCAAAAAATTCCAAAAGTAATAACTTCTCTTCATTCTATGGTGATTATTAGTTCTGATGTTTTCTTCATTTTGATTTGCAGTGCTTTCAGCAGTCCTTTTCTGGGGGAACTTTACAGCCTATTCCTTGGTAATAGCCACATCAATATTGACCAACTCCAACTCTTTACACAGATAATTATTTGTTTTTTAAACATAAAATTGAATATGGATGCAGACAAAGAAGCTAATTCCAACGGGTTTTTATGCTGCAATTAGGTACCTTTTTCGCTACTACTTGCCCACCTGTTTTCTTCTCGAGCTTTATCTTCCTCGTCTGACATATAGTAACCTGAATTTTTGATTGTTTTTGCAGTGCTGCAATGCTATGCTTCTATTTTTATGTGGTTATATCTGGAGGAAACCCACCACCAAAGAAGTTGAAGTCATCTGTTAGTGTCTCATCTTGATTTTTATGACAATATGAAGGTTGGCATGTTTCTTGTGGTAATGTTTTGCAGTATGGGTCAACTAAGGTCAATAGGTAGATGTGCCCTGAATCTTTTGTTATTTGAACACAAACTGCAGGAGAGCTATGTGTTTACTATCTTTGTTTTATGTCTTGTGGAAAGCAACACTACATAAGATGACAGGTAGAGGAAAGTGCTTTTCTGCAGCAATAACATCACAGTTAGCTAAATTAGTAGTTTGTGGCTTAAGAATTTTTATTAATTTGTCGATTGTGGAGCAAGAACCTTGAATGAACTTGTATAAGAAAGAAGACTTTTAGAATATGTTAATGCATAACATACCTCCTATTCTTTTCTAGTTTGCTCTATACAATCATTTTAGTTTTTATACTCTTGATTGTTGAAAAGATAACATGACCGCCAGCTTCGGTGTAAATAATCGCATAAAGACAATGTGCTTATAAGCATTACCTTATGTGATAATTTTCTTGATCTTAACATATAAGCTTAATACATGTTCCTGACCGTCTTTTCTCACTTAATTTTTGGAATGAGAAGATTTTCTCTTGCAAGATTTATCATGAGGGACCTGCATTATGTGAAGCTCATAAGGTTCTGAGGCATTTTGTGATTCAATTCTGACCTATTTATGTAATTTGTGCGGTGGCTTTGGTTTTCTTAGGACAATTGACTGGGATTTGGAATGACACGACGGATTACCATATGAAGAAATTTTGTGAGCTAGATTTTTCACTTGAGCTGGACGTTATCTGTTGGTACTTCTTTATGTTGTTAACGAAGAGGTAATTGAAAGAAATTTCAGTCTGTGCTGTTGTATTTTGAAAGGAACAATCTTTATCTTGACAGAGAACCCTACCTTGCCCTCCGGTTCTGCCAAGTAGTCTGGTTATCCTATACTTTGTCCAGTTCCTGGTTTAGCGGCCCTGATTAGCCAAATCCTTTACAAGTTTTGGCATTTCCAATGAGTCCCGATTGAGAGGTTGAAAACCCGTCCCCTGTAGCATTCATCTGCGCAAAACCACCAAGGCTGACCCCATTCTTATTCCTCATACTTCCCAAATTGCCTAATTTCCTGCATGACACTCCTGAGTTCATCCAAAACAATCCCGTCCAACAAACCAAGAACATCCTGAATAAACCTGTGTTATGAGCTCAAAACCCAACTAACCAAAACGTAAGCCAAACCCAGAAAGCAAGAAACTTGATTTAGAATGTAGGAAGAGGAGTTCATTTTGGACCTCGGTGGCATACTAGAAAAATAGTGGCCCGTGATAGTGATGTAGCATAGTTGCAATGGATTAGTTGGGTTGTGACAGGAGTCCCCTATCAGACTGTTTCGACAGTCAATACCTGTTGTGCATTTGCATTGTAAAGTCGAAGCAGATGGTAATTCTCTCAGCTCAAGGAGTGTGTGGAGCCTAGAAAATTAGAGAAGGTTGAGGAATGGTAATTCTAACTCGAATAATAAATCTTTCTGCTTTAGTTGGTTGATTATGATTTAATCTCTTGTTTTGAACTTTTGATACATTGGAATTCATTGATTGGTTATACTTTTTTGTTTCTTTGAGAAAAAAATGAATTCCTTCATTCAACTGAACAAACATATGAAGTTCAGAAACCTATTAGCTTCCTAAATAAGTTATGAGTTATTTTCAGAAGATCCATAAAAGTTGAAAGTAAATGAAATTTTAATTTTAAAACAAGATATCTTCCATCATCAACCTAAACATAAAACTACAGGAATTGCAGTATATGATGATGAAAATTGTTCTCAAGTTAGCCTCCACAATTATTGCAATCTCCATCTGATAAATTTATATATACTATACGATGAAAAGGGGAAAAATTAAAAAAATTTAAAAAAAAAATAAAAAGAAGCAGAAATCATATATTGAAAATGATTAAACAAACAATTTATTACTAAAAATATCAGGTATTTTCATTGAATAATTATTATTTTCCTTGTTGTATAGTTCCATTATTAATAAATAAAGTATTCTCCCGTTAGAGTTTTATCCGTAGTATCTACTCAATCTATGGAAATTCTTCTAAACGAATATAATTCTCAATATTGTTTTATAAAAATATACTCTCAAATTGTGGGTCTTATAATAAGACAGTAGCAATAATTTTGTTAAAATTATTTTACTCTGAATAGATAATAACATCTTCTTGTCAGTAAGAAAAAATTTTAAACTCTAAATAAATAATGTGATACACATTGCTTAATTACATATTTAATATATTATATCTTACTTTTTTTTTTTTTTGCAAGATGGAGAATGAAAGAAATTAAATTCTACAAATCTCTCTCTCCCCCCACAATTTGATCCATAATTACTTTGTAGATGGAGCTATATATTAGTTTACTCGATTGCTTTGCACAGTGAAAGTCATTATCCCTAAAACTTTGAGAAAAGCATGATGTAACCAAATTCAAATATGCAATAATGGAAAATGGAGAAGTTCAAAGACTGGGAAAAGTAAATATATATATATATATATATATATACATATATACACGTCTACGCACGTACAGAATAGTCTTCAATTACTAGCGAATTGAGCCAGTTAAAAGATTTAGTATAACAGAAGTAAATTTGAGAAAATTTTCATTTATATTACCAAAAGTTAATAGGAAGAAAGGGTTACAATTTATGTTCTAAATCTTTCAATTCAATTAAATAATAAGAAATTCTGAATTATATAAATGAATCACACATCGCAAATTATAAGAGTCAATAATAAATGCAAAATTCAACATTTTTAGGGTTATACATGAAATCTAATTAAATATTTAAATTACTTATTTTTATTTACTTAGAAGCTGCTGCGGTACCTACATAATTTACTTTTAGAACAAGAATTATTTTAGTTGCCTATAATATTAGTATAAATTTAAAATAATTACCTATGATTTGGCTTAATTCAACATTTTTTTATTTAAAAAATTTAAGACTTCAGTACATGAAAAGAAAAGAAAAGAAAAGAAAAGAAAAAAAAATTGTCTAATTCGTATACATGCACTAATCCATATATGCTTGTAATAGTTACATATTCTTATAATAATTAAAGCATACATAAAATAGCTTACTAACAGTATACTAAAAACATCTTTGAAGGGCCTATTTGGTAAATAAAAATGTATTTTAATTTTAATTTTTTAAATGTATATATACTTTACTCAAAGGATTACTTTGATCAATCTTGGTACTTTGAATTTTTCAGAAGAAAATAATAATAATAATAATAATAATAAAACATAAATGGAGTTGTATATATGTTCACGTGATGAAGTAGTTTTGACAAAAACTACATCACTTTCTTGAAATGGGTGTATTGACACTGATACCTCTGAAACTCAGAAAGAAGAAGAAGAAGAAGAAGAAGAATTCCACTTCCACTATGCACGTTACAAAGCTTGAAACGTTACACGTGGCAGTATCTGGAAGGGAAAGGAAGGGCCTAGTTTTGCATGGTGAAACCACGAGGTTATCACCCAAGTGCGCCACTTCCACTTGGTAGGGTTTTCCAACCTCTATATATATATATATATATATATATATATATATATGTATGTATGTATATGTATCAACCTCCCCAATCTTTTTCAAATTCAGGGTCTGCCTTAACTCACTCGGTTATCTAATTGCTCTCTCAATCTTATTGCTTTTAGTTAATTATTACGTCAACTCCCATATACAATCAATGGATATTAAGATAAACACATATATATATATATATGTATGTTATTAATTATCAAAATAAAAAATTATACACATATATTTGTTGGCTAAAATGTAAACTTACCAGTTATTACTCAAATAGAATAGTTAATACTTTATTTACTCTATAAAAAATTATGAATTATGAATGTATACATATTTTTGTTTTTAAAAAAATGAGAAGCTATTTACCCTTTTGTAAAAGACTAGGAATAAAAAGCAACAAGCCATGTTATTCTCTGCTCCCCATATTAGCAACAGTAGGGAAGCGAATGATGCAAAAGTACCTTCCCTCCCTCCCTCCCTTTTCATGTCTGTGTATGTATATATGTTATATAATATATATATATATATGTATATGTGGGTAGGTATATGTATATATATAGAGAGGTTTGTTTGTAGGGAAGAATTGATGGGGGAAAATTTCAGCAAAAAGAATGGCAAATGGGTGCGAAGAATATTGTGGTCCAGCTTAGAAATAAACCTCCATGCATGCCTTTACACAGCGCCCACAGCCTTCTCTTTTGGAGACATTTTCAATTCTTTAGTCATTGCAAAACAAAAAATCAACTTGTATACATATATATATGGAATGGGAAGTGACATTTTTCATCAACTTTTATAAATATATATATATATATATGAACATACACAAACACATTGTTCATAAGGTTGTCATATGTATGCATATATACACACACATATAAATCTTCGATGGAGAGAATTACATTTAGAGTTGATAAAACTATATGATTAATAGCGCAAAACTTATATTTTTATCATCTTTTCTTTTCATATAGATATATATATATATATATGTACGTGTATTATAATGTTTATAATTTTAAAAAGAAAATATGAATCTACTATGTTTAGATATAGAAAAGTATACTGGAATTTTACTTTCTAAACATATATATATATCTATATTAACTTTGAATCTAATTTTCTAAAAATAAAATTATAATCAAGATGTCGAACTTAAATAAAAATATAATATACTTGAAACAAATGAAATTAGAATTTGAAAATAATAGTAGGGTAGAATTTTTTCTTTTTTTTTTATAAAAAAATATATATATATAGATCTATAAATAATAAAATCTGTTAATTTTAACGGAATATTCTTAAGTTGGTAGGCGAGGTTGAGTGGTTTACCGTTTATCGATTTCTTGAAAGCAAAACTAATCGTGTAACAGTAATAATAATGTCTCGTGCTAAATACAAGAGCACATGGGACATAATAATAGAAGGGCATGAATATATACATTAATTAATTAATTATTTATTTATTTTAATAAATGGAAAGATTTAGCATGAGGGTGTATATTGTCATAATTTATTCTGTAAATTAGAAAATTAGTAAAAATTCGATTTAATTTAATTTTTAAAATTTATTAGATTCTACTCAAATTAAATTTAATCAAATATTTATATATTTTATTTTTATTACTGTAACTACATATATTTTTTAAGATATTTTATTTTCCAATAAATATTTATTTTCAAAAAAAATAATAATAACATGCTATTTAAATAAAAAATAATAATCATACAAAAGCTAACTTCTCTTACAAAGTCCCAATTTCCATTAATTTTTTACTGCCAAAGC